TCTGTAAGCGATTGAAGTAAGACTACTACACGAAGTATTGTAATGGTAATGATGCGCTACGTGCTGTGTATCCTCGCTCTCCTGCTCTCATGTGCGTGTGTGCACGTCCTCGCTGAAGAAGTGCCTGCCGCCGATCTTTCCGACCAAGTCCCTAATACGGAGAGTGAGACAAAGATGTGCCTTGAAGGTGGTGCTGAAGGTACTCTACATCCTGAAGGTGCTGGACGTTCTGTTGACGGTAAACGTTGTGCTGAGGCTGCTGCTAGTGGTCTTGTTCCTGTTCCTGATGCTAGTGGTGGTGATAATTGCCGTGAAGGTACTGAACTTCCTGAAGGTAAGAAATGTCCTCCTAAAAAGCCTGAAGTTCCACCTGTAAAAGTACCAGAGGAACCAAAAGAGGTGGTTCCTGAGAAAAAAGTACCTGTTACTCCTTCTCAAAACCACGAAGATCCTCCTGCCGCACCACATGAAGTTCAAAGACAACATGAAGATAATGGTATTCCTGGTCCTCGTGGCGGAATTGCTGAAACGGGTGACGCTGCTCTTCGTGGTCAAGATGGTGAGACCGGCTCTTCCGGTTCTTCTGCTGGTGCTTCTGGTAATGATGTTATTCCAGCACCTACTGAACCTACTGGACCTAGGGCAGATCCCACTGAAGCTGATCCTGCGGGTGAAGTGCAAACTGAAGGGGACGGCAACAATGCAGCAGGTGGAAGTGCTGATAGCCAAGGAAATGGAGCACCACAAACTTCTTCTTCTTCCAACAATACAACAACGGGGACTGCCGGAGCTGCGGATAATGAAACAACAGAGAACGGCAATACATCTGCAGGAAGTGAATCAACAAATACCCAAGAAGGTGATGGAGAAAACACAGAAAACACCACTACCACAACGACAACACTTCCTCCTGAACTCACAAACAACAAGAAGGGTGATGCAGACAGCAGCAGCAGTATCAGCAGTTCTGTGTGGGTGCGTGTGCCACTACTGATTGTGGTTACACTGGCCTGTATTCTTGTGTGCTGATTATGTGGTGATGGTGATGTGACTCAGGTCATCCTTTGTTTTCTTTTCTTTTTTTGCATGCATCCCTACAGTCTAATTAATCTTTTACTGTTGGGATTTCTCTTCTTTTTTGTTTCTTAATGTTAATGTGTTTTGTGTGTTTTTACTCTCTATGTTTATCCTATAATAATTATTATTGCTACTCCATTTTGTGTGTGTGTTTGTTCTTGGAGACTCTCTCTGTATGTGCACCTGGACTTGCACTGTAATGATGATGATGAACTGCCTTTTTGCAGTGGGAGAAGGAAAATAATAATAACAGATGCATTTATATTTATAATTGCGTATATATACACACATATATAGACTTACACCCATAGTTGGTGTATATTTCTTGTGTTTACTGGGTAAATTGGGCTAATGGTTAATATCTTTTTTTTTCTTTGCTTGATGATTTTGCTGGGTCTCTGAGCCTTTTTTGAGATATTTATGAGTGTGGGCGTTTTTTTTTTTTTTNAACGGATGCAAAAGATGTGAGAGTTTATCATCACGGTGTGTCGGATGTTGACGTTATTTATGACGTTTTAAAGCTGAACAAAACTGAAGTTCAACTCCAACAAAAAAAACTCTCTGAGAAACTTCGTGGTGGTGCCGGTTCTGCAGCTGCCAGGGGACCAAATCCTGTTGAGACTTTACAGACGAGTGAAGAGGGTGTTCATCATCATGTCACGTCTCTTGAAGAGGGACAGCTGGAAACACAAAATAGACATGAAAGACAGGAGTTACGGGATGGTGAAAGTACACTTCAACAGACGAGGGACACACGGGAGAATGAAAACCTGGTTCAAGAAGACAGTGAGGCGGCCCGTCCATCAGTACCTGCTGTAGGTGAGCCAGAGTCAATTCCTGTTGAAACTACATCTAAAGATCCTTCACCTACAGAAGGC